ACCTCTGGACCAATTGGCAGCATCAGGGTGGATGGTGAAGAGATTGAGGTTATTCACAGCTTTAGTTTGCTTGACTCCACAGTCAACACTCTTGGCACCAGTAGCCAGGAAATTAAAAGACGTATTACGATGGGAAAGTCTGCTGTTAGGGACCTCTCCAAAGTATTGAAGAGAGAGTCTCTCTGGAGACTAGGTGGGTCTGATACAGGCCATGGTCTTTGCAATCATATGTTATGCATCAGAGACTTGAACAATGACTAGAGAGGATAGAAGGAGAATTGATGCCTTTGAGCTGCGGTGCTGGAGAAGAGTATTGAGAATACCACGGACTGCTAGGACAACAAACAGATTAATCTTGGAGAGGGTTAAACCTGGCAGCTCCTTGGAGGCAAGGATTCTGAGGCTCCGTCTAACATACTTTGGACACATTGTAAGGAGGGATGACAGGTCCTTGGAGAGGGACATCATGCTTGGTAGGGAGGAGGGACATCACAGGAGGGGAAGGCCCTCTATGAGGTGGATTGATTCGGTGACTAGGGTAATCGGGATGGTGTATCAGAGACAGTACAATTGGCACAGGACACAGCAGAGTTTAGGGCTGTTGTACATAGAGCTGCTATGAGTCTCAAGCAACTCGACAGCACATAACAACAACATATCAGTCAGTGTTACTCTTTCTCTCTCTCTCTCAAAGCTGACCCTCAAGCAGCTGTGAATCGCACAGAAGTAGATGGCTTATCTTTCTCCTGTGGAGTAGCTGTTGAACTCAAACCACCAACCTTTGGATACATAGGGCAACTCCTTGCCCATTAAGTCTCCAGAACTCCTTTTATGCGTCCTTTTAGGACTCATAATATTATACACAGAATAGAAACTTTTTCTATTCTAAATAGAATTGATTTTATAATTTGTCCTGCTAAAATTAATAGCAGGCTATTTCAGGTCAACATAGTCCCAGAAGCTTAACCAGTTATATAAGTTCATAATTTCTATTAATAGTTCCATCAGTGGCTCAGTTCCCAATTCCTCTATGTCCTGTGGATTCAAAGATTTGCTAGAGGGTCCTCCAGAGACTCAGACTCCTCAGGGGAATGACTTACGTGACTGAAGGGATGCAAGCTGGGGTTTTGTTGTTTTTTTGTGTTTTTTCTTGGGTTTTTTTTTTTTTGTTGTTGTTGTTTTAGGAACTGGTGAATAATGGACGAGGCTGGATGCAGCAGGAAACTTAAACAAAGTCATGCTACTTCTCCTGGATTGGTGTTTTCACATAAGCTCCAGTGTAGAGAGTGCTCTCTTTATATTGCTACTTCAGCTGTTGATGATTTGCAAGACTATGCTCACTTGCAAGACCATGTGTCTAAAATTAAGGTAGCTGGAGACCAGAGAGGGATAACTATAATGGCTAAAAAAAGCCAACTTTTAGGCTAATAACACAGCCCACCCTCTGGCTTTTCTTAGACATTATTTCTCATTATCTGAAAGATCAGCCTTCCCCTAGCATCATGTATGTTATTGTTGTTGTTAAGTGCCGTCAAGTAGCAGGCAACTCATAGCTACCCTATGAAGGAGAGTCCTCAGTGCCTGTGTGTCTTTCATTCTCGCTCCAGTCCATCATCTATATTTAGGGTAATATGTAAACCAGTGCTTTATTATTTATGTCATAATCCCCTCATTTTAGATAGCCAATTTTTAATTTACCCAGTCTTATCAAACCAGTATTTTAAGGAAACAAGCTATGTCTTTTTCTCTGAAGCATCTTCTGTTACAGTTGAAATGGATCTATAAACAACGATCCAGTACAGAGCAAACTATCCTGTAATAGTAATTAATACAGCTCTTAAAATCAAACATCTTTTCATCATTGGTTGGGTTCCAGTCAATATATCCCCAGCCATCCATAGCTAAGTCCAAATAGACATCAGCTGCCAACTCAGGAGTCCACATATCTTCCTGTTCCAGACTGGCTGATCCTTTTATTCAACTTTAGCCCCGCAAGGGTCAAGCCAGCACAATAGGAATTCTCAGGACTCCCTGCTTCACAAACCAGTAACCTTTCTTCGTTTATCCATTCATCATGCTAGGTGAACAGTGCTGAAGGAGCAAGTCCAGTCTCAGCCTGTCTCTTCATTACTGCACATCTCCCACTTCTACTCATCAAGTGGACACAGGTGGTCACCATGAGTTGGACATAACTCATCAGCTTCCTTTCACTTTAAAAGTCCTGGAACGGGAGTTCTGATGCTACCTAATTCCTCTCGTCAAGTTGATCCAGGTGGTCACCACAAGTTAAGTATATGTGTCAACTTTTTCTTTCCTCAGTTTCTTTTTATGCTCGTCTGATTTAAAATGTAACTCTCTTCAGTGTACTCAGCGGAGCTTAATCTTTCTTAGGCTAAGCTCTACACTCCATGTCAAATTCTACTACTATAAACATTCTTTTAGGGAAAATTAATTATCTTTTTGAATGTCCAATTAATATACAATTGGCTTACATTTTTCCTCTAAATTACAGTATGTCTCATAATTTCCACAATCTATATAATTCAATATAACTAAATCCAATAGTTTAAATCAACAAAACAACCATTTTTACAGTATATCTTAGAATTCTAAGATATCCCTCATATTAATTTCCCAATATATCTCAGCATTAGGACATAGGGGAAAATGGGGAGGGAACAAAAAAAAAACCCAAACAAACAAACCAAAAAAAAAACCATCATTATCCATCAAATACATCCAAATAAACACATAAAGTTTAACACATTTCATCTCGAACCATTAAGTATATTTTGGCTTCACTTTTCTGGTCTCTGGCATGTAGCTGAAGAAAGTAATTCCCTTGCTCTAAGTCTCTCCTGAAGCATTAGCATAATGTTAGATTTTCCTTGCTACATGACCCATTTATTCATTCCTTTACCCTCAGCTACTTGTTGTCCTTCTTCCCATTTATCATTTATTTTTACCCAAACTTTCCCCCGTTGGGAAGAATATCATGGTCAGATACTTTGTCAGCCCAAACAACAGGTAACAAAACCAACCTGGTAAGTGTTTCGCCTTCACTCCATTTCCATTCATGTTGGGTAGGGTTATATAGTTAAAATAAAAGTGGGCTATCTCAGCCATTAGGTAGACCAGTAGTATTTACAATAAAATATACTTTTGCATGATGGGGTGAAGGTATAATCCACTTATCAGACCTATGGGAATTCACGCATACAGGTTTAACAGTATTGTTACAGTTGTTTGCCCAGGAATCACACCTGCTTCTGGCACTCTTAATTGTATCACTAGACCTGAGAGTGCAGCATCTGGCAGGAGGAACACAATCTCTGGCGAAGGGGAGAAGAATTGTGTAGTAGCTAGCACCAGCATCTTCTCCCACTCCTTCTCAGATACCCCTGAGAAATGTAGGTCCCTTTCCTGTGGTGAACCTCCTTTATTAGTTGTTGTAAGGTGCCCTCGAGTCAAGTACAACTCATAACAACCCTATAAACAAAAGATCTGACCCTGTTCTGTCCTGTGTCATCCTCACACTTCCTGACACACAGGAGCCCATGACGGTAGTCATCATGTCAATCCAACTGGTCAAGAGTCTTCCTTTAGTTCACCAACCTTCCACCCTTCCTATCAGCATGCCCTTCTCTAAAGAATAGCCCCTCCTAGCAACATGAACTCCAGCTGCACCCTCTCTAAGACGTATATGCTTGTTCTTTTGGCTGTGTTCTTTTCCAACATCACGGCTCAAAGGCATCAATTCTTCTTCTGTCATTCTTATTCCTTGTCCAAATCTCTAATGCATAGTTAGTGATTAGAAGGATTATAATCTGAATCAAAAACATTTTAGTCCTAAAACTAACATCATTACTCCTCAGTAATTTGAGGAGGTCCCTAAATGTAGATTTTCCCAGTGCAATTCATCTTCTTATTTCCTGACTACTGGTACTAAGGGTGTTAATTATGGATATAAGTAAGATGAAGCTGTTGACAATTTTAGTCCCTTTTCCATACATCATGATGTTGCCTATAAGTCCAGTGGTAAAAATCTTTGTTTTTATGATATTAAGATGCAATCCATACTGAAGGCTGCATACCTTGATCTTCTGCAACAAGTGCTTCAAGTCCTCCTCACTTTCAGCTAGCAAGGTTGTGCCATCTGCACAACACAGGTAATTGATGAGTCTCCCTCCAATCCTGATGCCACATTCCTCTGCATAGAGTTCAGCTTCTTGCTTAATTTGCTCCACATACAGATTAAACAGGTATGGAGAGGGAATACAACCCTATGCACTCCCTTCTTCATTTTAATCCATGCAGTGTTTCCCCATTCTGTTCACACAACAGCCTCTTGGTCCAGGAAGAAGTCCATATTGGTTCCCATTCCCAAGAAAGATGATCCAGCTGAATGTAGAAACTATCAAACAATATCATTAATATCATATACAGGCAAAATACTGCTGAGGATCACTCCAAAATGGCTAGAACAGTACACAGATAGGGAACCACCAGAAGTTCAAGCAGGATTTAGAAGACAGTGGCACCAGGAATATCGTTGCTGATGTCAGATGGGTCCTGGCTGAAAGTAAAGAATACCAGAATTTCCATCTGTGCTTTAATGACTATGCAAAGGCATTTGACCACGCAGGTCAAAACAAGCTGTGGCAGACATTGAGAAGAATGGGATTCCCCGAGCACTTAATTGTGCTCATGCGAAAATTATACTTGGACCAGGAGGCTGTTGTGACAACCTCCTTTAGCTCCTCTTATATTGAGTGTGAGCACACCCTCTTGAAGACATGTGAGCCAGCCTTTAATACCTCTACCTCACCTTGTTTTAGATAACAAATGTTTCAACTGCCCATTCCAATTCTCTATCAGACTATTACTCCGAGGATGGTAGATAATATGGCAGGTGCATATAATAAGATGTTTCTTGGCCCACTGCTGCACTCTGTAGGCTATAAAGTGTGTTTCTAGGTCTGAGGGTTCCTTGGTCAGGGAACACAGAACAGAAATTTCTTTCACTGTAAATTTGAATGATTCAGGAAGAGTATGAAAGAAGAAGGAAGGAATACACAGAGTTGATGTATGAAAAGCAAAATTGATTGGGATCTTCCCAGATAGAACAGCAGTCAGAGTATGTGGCTGGCCTGCTGCCATTGCTCCCACATCAGACTGAGAGAGTGTAGCAGCCAGGAGGTCAGTGGTATCCAGCTGCCCTGCACATCAGCCAGCACCTCTAAGGACAACTACAAACTTTACAAGAGGCAGAAACACGATTACCGCAGGGCTCCACTACAGTCAAAGAGAAGTGGAAGGACTTTAGGAAAGGTGAGCTTTCTCACTGAACAGGACCAGAAAAGACTCCTAGTATATAGCAAGTTGCCCTTCCTCATAAAGGAACGAATCCATAACAACATAAAGAACTGAAAACAACCTACTTAGATACAGTAGAAATGGTCTAATACAAACCAAGAAAAACTTCACATAATGCCAAGAAAGCAGCAAGAAGCTTCAAACATTGTGAAAAAAACAAAATAAGACTTCTCCTAAAAAAGCAGAGCATATTTTGGACCCAATGAATACCCCGAGACAGAGATGAAGAAGAAATATATTGACATGGAGTCAAATGAATGCTGTGGAAGAAGGTATAAATGATGGCAGAACAAATAGAAGTCATAAATACAGCAAATATTTCAGAGATAGGGAACCAGGAAAAAATACATTGTTGATGTTACATGAGCAGCTATGAAATAAGGAAAAACTCATGGAAGGAAAAAATGGAAGCCACAAATAAAGTAAATACTCCAGAGACAGAGAATAAGAGATATATTGATGGGGAGGAATCAGAAAAAACATTGGAAGAAACTGCAAAAGATGGAAGAGATAACTGAAATTATAGATAAAGAGGTACAAGAATTTTAAAAAAAAAATCATCACACATTTCTACGAAGATGGCGCCCGAAAACGAAGAAGGAAACCCCCGCCCCTCCCAAAACTGAAGCCAAAGCAAAGGCCAAAGGGCTAAGAAGGCAAGAAGGCAGTTCTGAAGGACATCCACAGCCAAAAAAAAAGAAGATCCTCACGTCACCCACCTTCTGGCAGCCTAAGATGCTGAGACTCCGATGGCAGCCCAAATACCCCCGGAAGAGCGCCCCCAGGAGAAACAAGCTTGACCGCTATGCCATCATCAAATTTCCCCTGACCACTGAGTCAGCCATGAAGAAGACAGAAGATAACAACACACTTGTGTTCATTGTGAATGTCAAGGCCAACAAGAACCAAATTAAACAAGAAGTTCTATAGCATTGATGTGGCCAAGGTCAACACTCAGATTAGGCCTGATGGAGAGAAGGCCTATGTTTGACTTGCTCCTCACTATGATGCTTTGGATGTTGTCAACAGAATTAGGATCATATAAACTGAGTCCAGCTGGCTTATTCTAAATATAAATGTTCTCACACACACACACAGACACACACACACACACACACACACACACAAAATCATCACAAGAAAGAAAATTTACAGCCATAACAATGCTAGAAATAATAGAAATATATACAAGTGCAATTCAGATTATCAAGACCAAAATGGCAGAAGTTCCCAACATACTGAGGGACAAATAAACAGAAGAGATGGAACATAGAATCACTGAGCTGGTAAATAAGAACCTCAATGGGAACATACTAGGAAAAAATTCAGACAGGAAATGAAAGGTTTTTGTTAAATTTGTAGAGCTCATTCTTTGAAAGGGTCAATAAAATAGACCAACCATTAGCAAACATAATAAAAGAAAGAGAAGACACAAATAACTTGAATAAGAAATGATAGAACATCATCATCACAACAGAATCAGATGAAATGAAATAGATAATATTGGCATATTATTAAACTTTACTCCAACCAACTTGAAAACCTAGAGGAAATGGATCAGTTCCTTGAAACTCACACCCTACAAAGATTGGCCCAGTCAGCCATTGAACACTTGAACAGTAGAATACAAGAAGTGTTGAGCAGATCACAAAAAGATTCCCACAAATGTCCTAGCCTAGAAGTCTTCATAGCTAAATTCTACCAAATATTCAAAGAAGAAATATCACCAAATGTACTCAAATTATTTTAAAAATAGGGGGGAAAGGAATAATCCCAGATTCATTTTATGAAGCAAGCATCACCATAATACCAAAACCAGGCACTACAAACTGGTGAGCTCTGGTGGCCTAGTGGCAAGAAGCTGCACGGCAATCCCAGAAGTACACGGTCTGAATCCACCAGATGCTGTGTTGGAGAAGGAGGAACAGTCTCCTCATGTACCAGTCAGATCTGATTTAATAGTACACGCACAAAATAAAGAACATTTTTTAAAAGTTTTTAAAAATTTTAAAAAGAAGGTAACTACAAACCAATATCTCTCATAAATATAGATGCAAAAATCCTTAACAAAATCCTGGTCAATAGAATTCAACAGTACATTAAAAAAAATAATAATTCATCACGACCAGTGGGATCCATAACAAATATTCATGGATGGGTCAACATAAGAAAAACAATCAACATAATTTATCACATCAATAAAGCAAAGAATAAGAGCTGCATGGTTCTATCAGAAAAGTCCTTCAATGAATTCTAACACCCCTTCCTGATTAAAACATTCAGGAAGATAGGAACAGAAGGGAATTTTTTCAATATAATGAAAAGTGTATATAAAAATTCAAGAGCCACCATCATTCTCAATGGAGAAAGACTAAAGGCATTAGCCTTGAGAATGAGGACCTGACAAAAAAAAGTGGGAGATGCCCACTCTCACCACGCTTATTCAATATTGTATTGGAAGTACTTGCTAGTGGAATACGACTTCTTCATATAGCAATGATGAAAAGCTTTTAATATACCATGAACTCAAAAAAAGGACAAATCAATCTAGCTTTTGAATAAATGTAACTGAAGTGCTCCTGGCAGGTAAGGATGGTGAGAGTATCTTGAGGCATGCTATCAGGAGAGTCTCTGGGAAAGCACATCACACTTAGAAAAGTGGAGGCTCAGCAAAAACCTGCAAGGAGATGAACTGACAAAGT